TTCATCCCGTTTACCCATATCTCTCAGCTGATTCTATACCGGTCGACTCTCTGGTTTGGTCCACCCTGTTTAATAGTTCATTGGGAGGTGGACCTGAGGCGATCTACACTGGTTCGCTCCCTACTGATCAGCAGATTTTGTTGCGCATTGTGTGCACGAATCTGTGGCCCGTCTCTCACACTTCTTCCCTGCCTGTGGAGAAGGCGAGATTTCTTTTTGCTTTGCTACATGGGGATTCGATTGACCTACCCACTTTCATTTGCCAGCACATTCTGCGTACTTTTCAAATTTTCGGTCATCTGATTGGTCTTCCTTATGCTTGCTTGATCCACCGCTTGGTGACATCACTTGGGGCTTTATTTCGCGATGGGGTGTCATGACGAGTGTTTCGTCCCATAGGGCACACTACCATCTCTCAAAGTAGGTCACATGTCACTTCTTCTGTTTCTACATCTGCTTCTGCTTTGTCGACCCGACAGTACCCACTGATCCTTTAGGTGATTTACTTGCTGATCTCTCAGTTATTCCTCCACCTCCTTTAGATGTTCCTCCGCCCACTTCAGATATTCCCTCTTCTTCCACTTCTATTCCACCATCCGCCCCACCTGCTCTGGCTACTGCTCCTGTTGACCCCATTGTCGCGCTTATGAGTCAGATGTTGATTTTCATTGAGCAACAGGCCCGCATGATGGCCAACATTACTCAGTGATGAGTTGCTTTCGAGCATCATACTGCAGAGTTTGCTACATTGTGGGGGGCTATTGCTCTTGTTCAGCGTGGTATTCGATGGATGCGCGAGCACTGGAATTATGAGTTTGAGGCCGACAATTCTGAGGACGTGGATGACAGAGATGATGATCATGCTTAGTTGCTTGGGGTTCCCCTTGACATTTGTGACAAAAAGGGGGAGTAGTTGGGATTTGTAATAATAAAGTACTTTGATAATGTACTATTGATTTTTTTGGCTAGATTAAGTTTTGATGTTTTTGCAATATTGATGTATGTTTTTGGAAATTTGATTATATTGATATTGTCTCTTAATCTAGCATATTGGTACAATGTTATGGCTATTCATGACTTTTTATCTTTTATGTTAACTTATATTACTATTTTTTGTGCTTTTACGCTGAGTATGTGAGTTGTGATTTCAGGAAACAGGTTGAAAGAAGAGAAGGCAATAGTGAGTTGAGTTAGTGTATTGGATTGTCATTGTAATTCATGCTATTGTAATTTGGTTTTGTCACAGAATGTCAAAGGGGGAATTTGTTAGATTTCGTGTTGGCTATTATGTGAACAAAAGAGTAAAATTATAAATGTTCAAAAGTTTGGGGTCAATTTGTTAATGTTTAAAGGTTATGGTCATTGTGTACATGTGTAAAAGATAAGGGACTAAGTTGCAATTTTGTCAAAGTGTGCTAGGGTTTCAGCTATGAAGTAGGGCAAGATGTGTTGTTGAAGTTTCGCTAGCTGCTCACCAAGTGGTCGCTCGAGCAACAAAAATAGAAAGGTCGTCGCTCGCTTCTCGCCCCCACTTCGCTCGAGCGAAATAGTGTCGCTCGCTTTTCACTCGAGCGACGGTGTTACCCATAAAACCATATTTTTCTTTTTTCGACATCTTAACCCGACCCAAATGTCCAAATACACTTCATATAAATAAAATTGCGCCGGTTTTCAGACGTTCTCTCAAGGATTGAAATTGAAGAAAACTCTCCACACTTTGATTCTCTCATTCCATCCCATATTCGACTCGTGCAATTACACAAAAATATCAAATCACCATTCATCAAACACCACAACATAACCTTCCAAAGCCTTTGTTGATTCTTAGAGATCGAGGAAGGAGATCGGAGTCCCGATCATTAGAAAACAGGCGGTTTTCTTGAATCCACAGGAGATAGACGAAATCAAGAGCCAAAAATTGGTGTAGCACGCAATCCACGAGGACTAGGTGCCGGGAGTTGGTGCAGGATCACACATTATAGGAAGGCTTTGAGGAAATTACGGTCAGGAGGTCAGAAAAACCAATGTGGGTTGAGTTTGACAGATTGTAAGTTATATTTTCGTTTATAGTGGATTCCTATTAGCTTGGCCCTGAAGTTTTAACCACATTGGGATTTCTTCGTTATCAAACAATTGCGTTATTTACTTTTCTGCAATTAATTTATTACAGGCATTCAAACATAGGATAGTAAAGCATGTGAACTGATCTGGATAAATTAATATTTGTGACATTTTGTAATTATTAACTGATTGAAAAAGAAAATTCTGCGTAAACAACTATTCGCGCCCCTCTAGGTGTTGATTGGGTCGAACTATGATATTTCAATATTAAAGGAGTTAATAATTTCCTTGCAGATTTTTTCAGCAGAATATAGAATTTGTTGATGGATAAAGCTAAGGTCATGGAGTTATACCAATCTATCCTTCATATACAAAAAAGGATAGATTTTCTTAAAGAAGAATCTGAAGATATAAATATTGGTACAACATAGATGTCAAAGATGTTCAATTCAAATATAAACATATTGTTGAATATCACTACTTAGCATCATAAAGAGGTCATAAAAATCAAGTTAATGCTATTGCAGCACAACTAAAAGATATACCGTCGGAGACAGATACACCAAAGAGCTCAGAAATGAGTTTTCCAAATTAATACCAAACAAGGATAGCTGGAAGCAACAGTGGACCCAGATGTGACAATATACCAAATGATAAAAAAGGAGATTCCACTTCAGTATCATCAACCAAAAAAGTAATGATACCCGGAGATAAAAGAGATTCCAAAACAATCAGCATTATAGACCTAGAAGATAAAATCCCTTTAAATCCAAAAGAAGAAAAATATGCTGAAATAGTCAGAATTGCTTACGAAATGAAAATGAGTGATTCATACTTCATCTCTCCGGGAAATAATGTTTATCCTAGGATAACAACTATGGAAAGAGGAGACCGTTCATTTATAGAAATTATGGTAGACTATGAATTTATGGATTTGATATATCCAGGAAAAGATTTGATAGAAATTTCGAGATTTGATGATATATTCATAAAAGAAGTATCCGGATTTGCCCAAGGACGAAGAATATATTTAAGATTTTACTCAATAAGTCCTAAATACGATGGAGTTGTTTATTATCCAGTTGAACATATAATATCAATTGGGTATATAGCAGACAACTTCCAAATAGATGTGGTGGAAATTAATAGAAAAATGTCAATAGTGACAAAATCATGGATCAGAAATAGAAGAGCACTTGGAATTAAAGTCATATACAACATTGACAAAAATTTGTTTGACAAAAAATTTTCATGCCTATGCCAATATGAAAACCAGATGCTGGTCAAATCAAGGACATGAAAAATTAGAAATATTGAAGGATTATATTACAAGATTCGAAATACATCAATTTTCAGGATGTTCTACTACTATAAAAGAATCATGTCAGCTAAGGGAGTGCCCCAACTGCATGTGAAAAAAGAAGACAATAATAGAGCACCTTTGACAAAGCTATATGGAGGACAATAATACAGTTGCATGTAAAGACACAGAAGAAAAATATCAATAAAAGAGAAAGATGCTCTTTGGATAAAAAGGTTAAAGAAGCATGTGAAGATATAGGCCCAAGGAGAAAAATAATAGAGAGATAGTGTGCCTTTGCTGATGTACTCAATGATGTAATAGAGTCTCATAGACTTGTATAAATAGAGGCATTGTAATAGATAGAAATCATCTCGAAATCAAAGTATCTTCTCTCAAATTGTAAGCTCGAGAATTAACATTTCTAAAACCAGTTTTTTCTGGAAATTCCTTTGTACCAAATAGAAGCCTTGTATAAATTCTGATTAAAATAGAATCCCAATATTTTGATATCAATATAAGTTTCTAAATCTTTATTCCCATAGATTCTTGAAAGATCAAATAGAAAGTTTCTTTCTTATTTTAGCAAAAAGAGAGCTTTTCTTTAATAGAAGTCTAGAATTTTATTCTTTAGAATTGATATAATGAGAGCAAGAAGCTAAAATAGTAAAGATTCCATGAAGGCAGGAGGCTGTTGAAAGAAGTAGTTTACATATTCAGAGCTCAAAGGTCACTCGGTTCTAAGAATAAAAATCCAGATCAAACCTAAGGTAAAACTATTAAATTTTTGCTAAAGTTACAATGAATCTTTTTAGATCTTAGAGAATTAAAATGATTAATTGCATGATTTGATAATTATAAATGCCAGGATATACAATTAAAAGATTTGATAATTTATTAGAAAGAATGATAGAAGTAATAAAAAATATGTATTCTCAATTAGAAAATATGGATGCATATTCTGAAGAATATAATGTATTAAACAATAAATGTGAACAATATATTACAGATTATTCCAATTTATTAGATCATAGATTGAAATTATATTCAAATATTCAAAACAAAGAAAATATAAGATAAAATATTTAAAAGATTAGGATATATGTTGCAATATAGAAAAGATCATTTCATTAAAAGTAATGTAGACTTTTCCATGAAAAGGAATAGTGATAGGCCAAATAGAAAAATCTCCCCATTGACTATTTAGAGAATCTAAAAAACTTGGGCTTTTTAAAAAAAAAAATTGTGGAAATTACACATATACAGGTATTTCAACTATATTGTGCAAAAATCAGGTGTAAAGATTTTTTAATTAGAATCCAGGTATTGTATTAATAATTAAATATTACACACCCTATCTAACTCCATACTAACCCTAATTCATTTTTCTTCTCCCTATTCATCATTGTGCCATTTCTTCCTACACCCATCACCACCATAAATCGATGATTGGCAATCATCGCAAGCGGCGATAGGCACATCAACGAAGATAGGCTCGATCTCTCTCTCACTCTCTCTCGTGGTACGATGCAATTTGTTTTTGTGGCTCGATCTCTCTCCTTTGTTGTATTTTGCATTTGTCTCTTCGTTGGTGTGATCTGGTAGCGATGGTGATGTCTGTGGTGTTTTATCGACGACAATGGTGAAGGTAGTGGCAGGTATGGTGTTTTTGTTGGGTGGTGGTTGTGGTCATGTTTGTGTTGTTGGCGATGACGAGGATGGTGGTGGATCTGGTGGCAGCAACGGGGATGGAGGTGGTGGCGAATTTGGAATTTTTTTTGGGGTTGGTGGCTGTGATGTGGTGTGGTCATGTTTGTATTGTAACGACCCGGGTCTCTGTACCCAAGCCGTTAGTTTACGTATTATCCGCTTTGGGTGGACCTTGTGCCCACTTACCCTTTAGGGCTTTTTATCGCGTCTCCTAGGATTTGAACTCATAACCTTTCCCTTAAGTAAGACTTAAGTTAAATTCTAGTACCAATTGGATAGTTAGCCTGAGAGGTAAGTGGGCGCAAGGCCCACCCAAAGTGCACAATATGTAAACTAACGGTTTGGGTACAGAGACCCAGGTCGTTATAAAAAAACGCGCAGTTGTAGCGACAAAAAAAATGAGCATTTTTTTGTAACGACCCGGATCTCTGTACCTAAGCCGTTAACTTACGTACTGTCCGCTTTGGGTGGGCCTTGTGCCCACTTACCCCTTACGACTTTCTTTCACGTCTCCAGGATTCGAATTCATAACATTTCTCTTAAGTAAGACTTAAGTTGAATTCTGATAAAGCCGTGAGGGGTAAGTGGACGCAAGGCCCACTTAAAGCGGACAGTACGTAAGCTAACAGTTTGGATATAGAGACCCGGGTTGTTACATGTATTGTTGGTGATGAAGGGGATGATGGTGGATCTGGTGACAATGACGGGGATGGAGGTGGTGGCGGGTTTGGAATTTTTTTGGAAGTGGTGGCTATGGTGTGGTGTGGTCATGTTTGTGTTGTTAGCGACACAAGGGATGGTGATGGATATGGTGGAGACGATGGGATTGAGGTGGTAGAGGGTTTGTTTTTTTTGTTGGGTGGTCATTGTGATATGGTGTGGTGATGTCCATGTTGTTGGCGACGATGGGATGGTGATGGATCTGTTGGCGAGGATGAGGATGGAGGTGGTGGTAGGTTTGGGATTTTTTTGTTGGATGGTGGTTGTGGTGTGGTGATGTCTGTGTTGTTGGCGACGATGGAGATGGGGGTGGATCTGGTAGCGTGGTAGGTTTTGGGTGTGGTGGAGATGGAGGTCCTCTGTTCTCATTGGTGATTGTTTTGGATATTGGGTTGTTAGTGGTGGTAGTGGTAGTGCAATGGCGGTAGAATGTTATAGTGGTGGTTGTTGGGTGGCTGAAGATTTGATGGTGGTGGTTGTGGTTTTTGTTGGCAGTTAATTAGATCTAGTAGTGATAGTTTTGTTGGTGGTGATGGTGCTGTTTTGATGGTGGTGATGGTGACAGGGTTGGTGATGGATTTGGTGGCGACGAGGGGGTGGAGATGGTGGCAGTGCCCATGGCAGTGGTGCCGGTGGTACGTGACCCACTATTTGGTGTATGTGACCAACTATTTGGTTCTTTGTGACTATCTATTAAATTTTGACCTTAAAATTCGATAATTTGTGATTAAAAAATAATTTAAGACCAACAAATTTAAAAATATGTGATCGATAGATAAACTATGATATATAATTTTTTTGATGTGACCAAAAAATAAACTAGTGATGGCAATTTATCCCGCCCCGGTGTCGCCTAGTCTCGAATGGGGCAAAAAAATCGCCCCGTCGCGGGGCGCGGGACGGGGTGGCGTATGAAACTTTTTTTTATTATTTTTTATTTTTTTATAAAGGTTAGGTTTTTACTTGGTAAAATGAGCGGGAAGCAGAGTTGAGTTTTTCATACCAAACGTGAGCATTCTTTTTAGCTTTCATCCTTTCGTTTAGGTATTTACACTAGTAACCCAGAGATTGAAGTCGGCTTTGAAGTAGGAAATGGAGTGAATTTAATTTTTCAAGTACAAATTACTCATTAGAGCTGGGTCAAATATTGTTCATTTGTATGGTAAAATTATCCACGTAAAACTAGCGCTTTACCCATTTGTTTATGTATTTTTTTTACTTGTGTTGTAAGCTCAAGCACATTTCAGTAAGGAAGAATTTTATATATAAGAGATTAAGGATGATCAATTTTAAAATTAAGAAATAAGATATACAACTTCAAAAATCAAATATTAATTAAATTTTTTCTTTTATACATTAAACCCTACGAAGCTGCAATCGAACTCGAAATTATATATATATATATAAAATAAACGGGGTAAGCCCACTGCCCCGTGCCCCACCCCGAACCCACCCCCTTGCCATCATAAAATAAACTGTGACTTATAAAAAATTTTATCCGTGACTTCGAAATAATTGTGACCTGTAAAATTTTTAATTTTTGACTTTAAAATAATCTGTGATCAATTAATTTAATGATATGTGACTTATAATTATGTATATGTGACCATTAATTATATAATTGTGACCTTATTATAATTAATTAATAAATATTTTTATTTAATTAGTTAATACATGAATTTTGAATTTTGAAAACTAGAAATCTTAAAATTGAATTGTGTCATAGTTGACACGTGACACTTGAATTTTTCCCTTGTTCTTTTAAGCTATTTTTTTGGTCATTTTTTTTTTTTTTGAATTTAGTCAAATAATCAATGTTTGTAACATATTCACTTTTGATCTCTTAAAAGTGTGTTTTAAGCTTTGAGAAAACCTTTCCAAACACGCTCTTACTAAATTCATAGTCGAGCCCGCCATTGTTAAATTTGATGTTTGTTACTTGAATATTTTTTCAATGGTTTTGCTTTTTGTACACCGAGGTTGACAGCCCTTCATGAGGGTGGGCCTACAATTTTTTTTTTTTTTAATTGGGTGTGGCCGCCTATTGTGGTGAGGGGGTGTGTACAAGAAGCAACACTCTTTTTTCAATCATACTAAACTAAAATTTTGGATGACATCTTGGATAAAAGAAAGTAAGAAGCATTACGAGGTAGAATTTCATTAGTAGTGAAAATTACTTGTGTGAAAAGCTGATTATTTGAGCGTGCAACATTAATCCAAACATCATCATTTTCCAAGGCTTTATCTATGCACTGAAGGTTAATGGACTGGGAGTCATCTAGACCTTTCTTATATTTTTAGTTTTTGGTCTAAAACAATAGTTCGTTGACCTTAAATTTATTGATGAAAAATAGTTGACTTGATATCACGTAAATAGCATATCATTTGCTTAGTATGTACGAGATAGATGAAGAAATTGGGAATGAAGCAGTTTTAGCATATACATTGACACAAAAATTAAAAATTGTTTAAGCGTGTTAGTTGGTCAACTATAATTCGATGAACTCAAATCAAATGATGACAAATCTATTTCTCTTTTATATTATTTTTCAAGATCTTTAATCAAAAATATTAATTCGATGGACATAAAGAGCTCGATTTCTCCAATTTTAGGTCAATATTCAAGTGATAGAGTTTATGAAACATTTCGTACAACCCCTTGGACTCGTAGAGTACAACCGGTTATCCTTAGGTTAGGAATAATTACTCATTCAAATATAAGATAAAAACATTTTTCCAATGAGAAAATATAAATATAGAAAGCTATTTGATTTTAGGAGAATGCTACGTGGTTTTACCGACCTCTCACTGTAGGAGTTGGTCCCACATGGAAAAAAAAAAAAAAAAAATTGCGCTGGAGCCCACGCTTAGTGTTGTCAGGCAAGGGCATACCCAGCACGGTTCTTGATTTCAGTGAAGCCAGTTCGCTGTGTAGTAATGGAAACTGAACCCACACGGGTCAATATAACGCTGTCCCTTTTGCCCCCATGCTCCTACCACTAGAATCAGCCCCGAATATTCCAATAACAGTTTCAGATTTTACACTGATGCTACCAAAAATCGTACCTGCTGATTTTCCGAGCTTGATGACTGGTGAGGAGCACGAACGTGATCTTCCGATACCTGAAACAAAGGCAACGAGGTGTGTTCTCGTCGCCCCTCCGATGCTTAAGTCAGAAAGGGAAATATATGCGTGAGGCTATGTGCTGAAGAACAATGAGAAAACGTACCTGAATAATGGCCCAAGGTTCTGCTTTTATAGGAGTAGGTAGTGTACTCCTAGTAGGATTGTGTTGGTTGGATGTTTTTATCCAAGGGAATTTCTATTATAAAGAATGTCCTACTTGTAATGGAATTGTTTGACAAGTGGTGTTAGGGTTGATGTAGAATCCTTGGGTGTTTAGGTTTGTTAGTTAGGTACCCAGGTCTTAGGAGGTATGTTGGTGGTGTATGTCTCGAGGACTATTCTCGAGGACATTGAGGGAATGTAAAAGTGTCCTCGAGGTATCTCGAGGACTACAATATCTCGAGGACTTAGATGACCTCGAGGACTGAAGAAGAGAAATGAGGTGGGGGTATGTATTGAGTCCTCGGGAATAAATGCCTCGGGTGTATCAATATTGGCATAGTCACCATTTGTGACCAATATCGATTAAATTTTTTTTTTTGGGAATTAATTAGAATCATAATCCAGTCAAAACTGTCTAATCTTTTGACTTTCCTTTTTCTTTCAGACTATACCTCCAATTCGATAGCAATTTATAAATGGAATATAAATTCAAGGGAAAATTACAACAATGGTCCCTAACATTTTCATTTTTTGCAGACTTTACCTTAACTTTCATTTTGTGCTAGTGAAGGTCCCTAAACTTTTGATAAATATCACCTAAGGTCTATTTAGATAGAAACCGTCCAAAATACCGTCAGTTGACAGAGAAAATTCCTTAAACTATCTGTTATCGCGACCAGAGACAAATTTAAGGGGGCTGGGCTGTAGCTCCACCTTAGGTCCAAGAGTTTTTTTTAAGGTATTTTTTATTTTTTTAGGTAAAAAACTAATTTTTTATGTGTAAAATTTTTTTTTCCACGTAATAAAAAACCAAATGATTTAAAATTTTGTAGTCCAGTCTTGGATCCATTCCTGGATGCCTCCCTGATCACGACGATTTTATTGAATGTTGATATCTTTTTGGGCGATGTTTTGAACACTTTTATTGAATGTTGATTCCTTAATTTTTTCGATCAATTGATAGTATTTTGGACAATTTCCATCTAAATGAATCTCAAGTGCATATTTATGAAATGTTAGGAACCTCCGTTATCAAAAAAGAAGATTACAATAAAATCTATAAAAAATAAAAAGATTAAAAACCGTTGCAATTTCCCTAAATTCAATAAAAAAATCACATTAATTTACATTTTATTAATTTACAATTACACCTTTTATCAGTTTTTATTAAAAATTTAATATTAATATATATCAAATGAGCTAAAATAAATTAAATACGGTCCCACCCTAATGCTCCGTCCATGTGCTATCATTGTCAGCCTGCATTCACCGACACTATCGGGGGAGGCCCATGTTTTTTCCGGACCCCACCCCGCCTCCCTGACAGGAGCAAAATTCATAGTCCTTTATTAACCTCCGAAAAATAATTTATTTAGTTCCGTTTAGTATACATTTTTGTAAAAATAAGAATGAAAAATATAATCGTTATGTAACCTACACAAAAAATAGAAAGTCAAATATAACGATTTGATGTGATAGATAACGTTCATAAAATGAGAATCAAACGAGGCTTAATTCATGTTCATGAGTAAAATAAATAAATAAACAAACAAAGTGCAGCATAACAATAATAAATGGTAATCACAATCTCTTTCTATTTCAGAACACAATATTAAAAAAATGATTTAAAATCCTTCCTAGAAAGCAGTCACACAAAAACATGACCCCGTGGATAATACAAAATAAAAAGACGACAGAAAAGAAGATAACAAAATAAAATTAAAACAAACCTTGAAAGTAACAATTTAGAACATCAATATGGAGGCAAATACCGAAACTGACACTGTGAGCAGCATCTTCATCAACGCCGGAGTTTCCAAGGCGCCGGCTGCATTTTCCGAAGTAATATTCTGTGAGTCTGCGGTGGGGCCTTTTGAAGGAGATCCGACAGGAGAGCTCGTCGGAGGAGCTGGAGATGACAACGGCGAAGGAGCGGTTGCAGATTCTAGGGCCGGGCCTGGAGCTTCAACATCGGCAGCAGGCGAGGGAGATATTTCTGGTGCAGGTCCCGGCGCCGATGCCGGAGCCTTTCCGAAAAGCTCTGTTGGAAGAAGTAAGCTGTCGACGGTGAAAATGCAAAGCGGAGTTGAGTCAAGGACTGTGGAAGAGATTCTGGACGTGTCAACTCCGGTGTCGAGGCTCACTGAGTCACCTGCAGTCGTGACACTCAGATCATACTTCCCGGCGCCGTTGGTAGCCAAAGTAGAAATCGAGCTCTTCGTGGTTTTCAACGTTCCGATGGGAGTATAGGTTGCAAGGGCATGATACTGCAAGAGCGACACCACTTCAGCATTTGAGAGCTTGTTCAGATCTGGCACTTTGGCCGCCTTGAAGGCCTCATCGTTTGGCGCAAAAATCGTCAAACCCTTGTCAATAGCTGACTGATAGGTTTTCAAAACCCCTGAAGAAAGAAGAAGCGATGCAAATGTCTTGCACCCTGCTTTCTCAAGTAACCCAGTAATGTTGACATCAGACGCTGGGGGAGCCGGGGCAGTTAAAATCGCCGGCGCATTAATTGGCGCGCTGATCTCGAGAACGGAAATAGTGTAAGGCTGTTGTTGAACCGATTTGGAGTAGGTGGAGTCAAGTGTCGAGCCTGGAACTCCAGAGCCGAAGCCGACATTACCACCCTTGAGATCAGTAATGTTGACAAACCCTATGTTTCCGGGGGCATTTCCAGTAGTCTGGTATAACGTGGTGGATAGAGTTGAACCATCGGAGATCTTGTGTAGCTTTCCAGCATCGAAATAATCTAACAATACGTGTAGTGCCAATTCATTCTTAACGACGGAAAGTGGATGCTTTCCGGTGATGGAAGAGAGGGCGCCGTTGCTTAGAACCAGAACGGTGACGGGTTCGCGGCTATTGATTTCGTCGGCGAGTTTTGTTTGGATCAGTAAGTTGTTGAACTCGCTGTATTCCGGGTAAGCCTCAAGGATTTTGGTAATGTTATGGGCGGCGGGCGCCGCGGCGAAGGCGGAGTTGAAAATTGCAAGCAAAGACAATACAACGAAGAAATGGTGGAATGAAGCCATGATGAGACGGAGCTCTATCTCAAAGCTGCACTGAAAGTACTGAAAATATTAGATAGAGCAAGGACTTATTTATTGTACTGTGGTTAATCAACCATGATTAGTGTACAGAGTATGGTTATAATTTAACCAGGGTGGAGATTTGGGGCGTGTCTGTGCGTGCGTTTTAGTTGGGGCACAGCTGGAGATCTTGTCCTAAACGAAAGTTTGCTGGCATTATGCCTTGTGTTCTTTTTCTTCAATGACGGAAATAGCCCTGCCATTTGTTTACCGTTAGGTTGTTTGAAATTTGAATGTTAGGATAGATTTTGAAAATTAATTTTTTGACCGTTAGAAGAAAAGTGGGGTCTATCTGTGAGAGAAGAAGTCAAATATGACGATTGAAATGGTGAAATAGCAACCAAAAAATCAATTTTTTGGGGCAAAAAAATCACTCCGAAATAGGCTCTTAATCTTGATTGTATATGGCTAGAGCAAGGACTAAGTATTACAATCATGTTACATGTACACTTTATTTGACATCAAGTTTGATATTATGACACGTGTTGCGGCATGAGTAGCCAGTTTTAAAATAACTAACACTTTTCTGCCCATTCATTTTTTAATTTTCAAGTGATGTCAAACTTCATATACAACATGAAATGTACAAGGAATATTATTCTTAGTCTTAATATCACGAAGAGGTGACTAAAACTTGCGGGTTTAACGAGGAAATGGAAATTTCTAGAACTTATATGGTTGGCTCTTGGGGATGAGAATGGGACACAGAGTATCCAATTCTAGTGGCTGTCGACCACTCAAAGTGTTTGCCACGTTCCAAATTGGACACAACTTTAATTTTTCCTTTTTATTCTCAAACAATTTATATAGAAATTTTAAAGTTTTCTTACAACTATTTTTCTAAATTTTGGCATACATGAACGTGCATTCTCTGTTTAATTGACAATGCATATGTCGTGGAAAGCCTTTGTTACAATGAAAAAGGTCCAAATTGAACAACCACTCGATTCAAATGCGTGAAAATCATTTTGTAGAATAGTTAAATAAATTTTTTAGAATATTTTCGATGAATATGAGATGTATAAATATATGCCGCTCTCCCGCTTTGAATGAATTGTCACTTATCAATTATAAGTGAATATCTATGTTAAAGAGTTATGATTCTATTCATAGAAAAAATTGTGAATTTTTTTTGATGGATTTTTGTAATTAGAAATCATGGGGAGAAAGAAAAATAAGTGGAAAATTTAAAATATACCTTTCTATGGAGGTGCAAAAATGGATGAATCCACTCCATGTAATGAATTGGCACAACTTGATCCCCGTTAAAGGACCGCGTGTGTCGAGACGAGATTGCTTCATAAAAAATGCATAAACTCGGCATTTTCTTGTGGCCCCATCCATAAGAAGACAACCTTCTTTTATATTGGGAAGGCAATGTTAGGCCATCCTAATTTCAAACTTCCACATTCCCATCTCCGCACCACATTCACTATATCAAAGCCGTTACATTCACCGTTTTCTCTAATTATGTTCGTCCCTTTTCACCTCCACCAACCCCTTCGCAGCAAGATACCAGATGAGGGGAGAAGATAAAGTTGTCTTTGTGCATTACAACTGGCGCACTATTTCATGCCCCTTCACGATGATTTCTACTCTCAAAACGAAATACTTTTGGAGTTTGATGTTAAATTGGTAAGAGAATTTGTAATAATTATTAATAATGAAAGGATGCAGCCAGCGAAAAGGATAAGGTACAACTGTACAAGTGACCATTTCGACTTGTGGACAAAGTTCTGCAGAATTGGCTCCAAGTGTATTCTATTTCTGGTACAATCTAAAGATTCTAAACAAAACAAACAACCTGAAATATCTGCAGGATAAATTGTTCGAGTGTGACGAATATTATCAATTGTTTATTTTTGAAAGAATTCTTTTTTAATTGTTACTAGCCGTAAAGGAGTGATTTTTTTATTTTTTCTATTCATATAACAAAACCTGTTATTATTTTCCTATTGCTAATGCTTTTTCAGGTAAATTTGTTGTGCTTTTCGAGTCCAACTTCTAGTTTTCCAAAGGTCTCGAGTAAAGTGAGGCTTGTGTGAAAATTTTCTTTTTAAGAATTGGTTTAGTAATTATTTTGAATCTTGTTCATGGATAGTACTTTTTTTTATTAGAATTTTTACGTAGCGATTACTCCACTCAAAACATGGTATCATCATGCTGTTAAGGTTGGAAAAAAGTTTTCAACTTATTTTTAGTTGAAGAAGCACTTCACCGATGTAATCATTGGGCATGTTTGATGTGTCCTAAATAAAGAAGATTCCTATAAAGATTTTTATTTTTTATTTTTTTATAATTAATTTAAAGAGACCAACAATGTTCTCACTTGCAAAGAATGTGAATGTCAAAACAAAGGATCTTAGAGGGTAATCGATTGACCCCCTTGTGATAGAGGTTGATTGACCTTGAGACAAAAATAAGTTGACCAGAGGATGATCCACATCATGCAAGTTGTATCATTAAAGCCCCACATGCCAATTTAATCGTAAACTAAGATATTTGTATTGAGTATTCAATTAAGCATGGACATTGAAATTTAAACAGATTTCCTTGCTCAAAAGCTTTATGATCTTTGTATTTAGATCGAATCTTTGATAGGAGGTATACATTTGACAACTCTCTCAATTAGTATGTTTCTAAATCTAATATGCTACGATCTCAACACACCATAATTGTCCGTATGTCCAGTCTTTGACAAAATCCATATGAAGGGAACAAACCATTATTCTACCAGCAAGAGAGGTGGAGGATACAATTGGTGGCGACAGGCGATGACAGTTAGATTTTGGAAGAATTAGGGTTAGGGTCATTAGTCTTATGCTAGCAACGAACAATGATAAAGTCACATAATTCCTAAAAGAATAATAATATTTAGCATCACTCGTACTATAACAACAATTTAGCAGTGATATGTGGTAGGCTCAATAAAATACGATCTTTTAAGTATCGATACATGCCACATTAATTAATTGGTGAATAAGTTCATGATAGATCTCTAAAGTTAAATAATTCACCTGTAATTGATATGACAATATCATTAGAGTGATGATACACGTACATGTACGGGTTCACAGAACCCATATCGATCACTCACATATGCGGGGTGGGTGGGGTTTTTTTTTTAAATACAAATGGGTCCCATATTTGTGAGCGTAGGTAGGGGTTATGTGAAATAGAACCCCTGTACACCCAACATTAGCCATGTCATTAATACATAGCATAGGCTCTATATGGAAGTGTTCCTCCTCTCAATATTTTTGACAAAATATATTTAGCTCTCCTTTGCTGGGAATTAAAATTTAAAATTTAATTTTGGTTAAAATTAACAACTAATTTTAATCACATACGTACAACTTATCAGCCATACATTTTATTCACTTTTATCAAAATGAACTAAAAATTTCATTTAATCTTCACCAAAAGCTTAACCTCGATTCTTAATGCTTAACACAAATGAATTTAACACGCCTTAATTATTTTATGTTATAATACCATTTATAAATTTCAAATAGGTCCAACCAACACTAAATAGGCAATTACCCTCCCCAACCCATTTAAATGTTGCCTACCCGTTAGCCAACCACCCTCTCTCTCTCTCTCTCTCTCTCTTTTCTACACATTTTATATATACATATTGAACTTGTAGCCCCTCGGAGCATAGTCCAGTGGTGTAAAGGACAGGAGTGAGGTTATTTCATATCTTGCTGGCAGTCGCATTGTGAGGGTTCGATTCCCGAGACATGAAATTGGACTCTTTATAGGCGCAGTGTACATGCAGCTCTTGTTCCATGGCTTGTTGGGGCACATCCCGCGATTTACCTCCTTCACAAAGTTTTAGGATTGGGATTCAACCTTTTTTATTTTCATATTGAACTTGTAATACGCTGATCATATAATATGACGAAAAAATAAAATAAAATTGATTACTCTTATTAATTTGTATATTTTTAATTGAAATGTCTAAAATAGTAAATTGCTTGGAATCAATGGAATTTTGCCATCATAATGACTATGCTGTTCAAAATAGTATTTATCTTTTCATTGAATTACTTCAGTTTGCATCAATCATCTTCAAATTCAGGTTTTTAGCTATAAAAGAAATATCTACACTATATATTAAATAAAAATTTGCTTAATTCATCAATATTAAGCATAGTTTAAAGGAATACTCCTATCGTCGATAAATATTTCTATATTAGCGACCCACAAAATATGACCAACCTGAGCATGGAGGCCCAATCTAAAAGTAACGTTTACTAGCCCATCTTTACTCGTACCTGTATATAGCCCAAAATCAAAGCAAAATCAATTAGCCCGTTAACAATGTTACTGCTGCACCACGCGAAATTCTTGTTTTTTCCTTCTTTCAATCCACCTCCAGAAAAAGCTGACGGAGATGAATGAATCTGACAACAACAATACTTCCATTTCTGTCTCACCCCACGAAAACAATGGCCAAATGGAGGTTGGCTTTTCTATATTTGCAATGCTAAAATGCGTTTACACCTAAACAGAGTTTGCATTTACACTATTGCCTAGAGTTTCAGAATTCTGACTCACCGTTTCTTAATAATCCCATGAAAAGTGTAACCGATGCATAAGAATTCCCAGATGCTAGCAATTTTTTTACAATCTGCAGGTCCCCTTCTCCCTGGTTTTCTCCATTCTCTCTTTCTATACATGAATTTATCATATATATATATATATATATATATATATATATATTCAAGGATTTGAATCTCGTAGATTTTGTATTTTTGAATGTCCTTCTGCAGAAATTCAGAAAGGGAAAGAATCATCATCATTAGTTTAGCTTGGACTCGGAATTGCTGGATGTGAATTAGGAGGACACGAAAACCCCGTGAGACTAAAACGAGAAAAGGTAGAGTCCCTGTTCACTGCAGGACAATTGCAGGAGCTCTACTACCAGACTCTTGTTTTCAATTTCATAGTCTCCCTGTGCCCTTTCACCTCCTTTTACCCATTTGGAAGAATGTATTTCCTTCCTACGGCCCCGGATCCGACAAAAAATTCCCTAACTGTGAGTACTCTCTTCATTTTATTAATTAATTTATTTTTGATTAATGATATTGGAATAATATATTGTGCATTAATCCTTGATTCTATGGAACTTTTTAAATTAAGTTCTTTACGAATGCCTTTCTAGCATTTTCTGGTTCTTCTTTTGTCTTTTTATCTCTCTCTCTTTTTTTTATTCCACTTTTAGATTGCACATACACAGTTGTACACAGGATCGCTAAGAATGTTAGTGCCCTGGTTTTATGTGTACAGAGAACTGCTTCTTTTGTAATCACATGTTTGAGTTCGATTATGAATAAGAATTTTCTGCATTAGATCTTTTGCTTGTAAGTTCACGTGGCTTTTCCTTTGATTTATTCAGGGGAACATGTATTTTTACACGGTAATGGACAACATAATATTATAGCAAATAAGATTTTCAACTTTTTAAAATCTGTTCAATGAGATCCAATCCAACATACCAAACGATGTCATCAAATATTCGACGTTGATGTGATACCACCGCTGCTTGTGGTCTCAGAAATCAACTTTCTGGACATTTACATCATATATTATAGATTTCAATCAATCTGTTTAATGAGTTTCTGAAATTATGCCAGAAATATTCCTAAGTGCTGATTTGCAGAACTGCAGACACTCCTTTCTTGCTGTTTGGGTATTCTCTCTTTTATTTTTTATTTTTTTGAGTCCTTGAAGATTTTATAGCACTCGGTAGGGCAGACAATTAGTGCATATCTGCAAATAGTGAATTATTTATGTTTACTGATGGGATCATACAGTCTCGATTTCATCAATCCATAAATTGGAGATTGCTGTTAAACCTCGCTCGTTAAAATTTTGGTGTTGCAGACTAGGTGTGGTTTAGTCTAATGTGGATAACTAGTTTTGGACTTTCAATTGCAAATTGATGCAAAGGTTGACTTAAAAAATTGGCACCTGCATTTCATAGTTATACATTCAAAAGAGTTGCATTTGTACAACTAATTAAAGGCAAAGGTCAGACTGAATGATTTCTTGATTTCAATTGTATTCAGTTATTGGAATTCGGATCATGGGAGTATGACGGATCCTTAACCAGGAAGGTGTAGAAGAATCGATGGAAGAAAGTGGAGATGTAGCAAGATCGCATTGCCAAATGAGAAGTACTGTGAGCGGCATATGCACAGAGGTCGCAAGTGTTCAAGAAAGCATGTGGAACATTCTGAAACTATTTCAGATCCCAATGTCAAAACCCTTACATTCAACATTAGAATTATGCCTATATATTCTTCTATCTTAGGTGACCTTGATGGCGTGATCTCTTCCAATCCCAGCATTGATGTTCCAGCAATCAACCTTGTTTTGTCCATATTAAAATTATAATCTATTTTTCTCTTTCTTCTTATCAATTACACATTTTCTAATAGAATAATATTACATATAAACCCAAATTTTTTTTTTAACCCCAAATTTTTGAAAAAAAAAAAAAAAAAAAACAACCTATTCCAAAAATAATAATCTCAAATAAGGGGGCCAAATAGGGGCTTTGGAGTCATAATGTTGAACTTAAGAATTTTGATCCTTACGTTGCAGCTACTAGCCCCCCTATCAGTGCTTTTGGCAAAGAGGCTATTGAAATTAACAGCACCGAAAACAGAAGTTATTATCACACTGAAGATAAGGATGCTGACTTTAACAATTGTTCGTACAAGAACTATGCTGGTTCCAATGCTTGAGGATTTGGTGTTTCCTGAGATAGTGTTCTTCAAAGTGGTACAGGTGAGTATAATTTGATGAGCCTGATGTGTATTTATATATATATATTTTGTAATTTTTCTGAGATAGTGTACTTAGCCCTGTTTGGCACACTTTAAAATTTTAAATTGTTTGAAGAGAAAATTACATTAAATGGGCATTAGATTTAAATGGGTCTCATTTTTTACTTGCATTTCGAATCAAATTATATAATCACTTGGATTCCTAATGAGACAAAAGAAAAGAGGAGCACTGATTGGATAAGAAGGATATTGGTGGCTAGGAATTGGAGATTGGAGAAAAATAGAAAGACAGAATAAAAACATTGGCGGCTGAGGTTGGGAAAAAAGCATAAACAGAGTTGAAAACGTAATAATTCTTTTTTTTATTGCATTTAAATCATATCTACTATTGCATACCAAGCCCCTGTTTGGTAATATTGATAAAGTTAATGAAATGTGTCACTGAAAAGTTGTGGATTTCGTAAAATATGTGATTAAAAATTAATTATTGATTTTGACTTCAGATTTTTATCAAAATTTTATTCCACACTAATAAGAGCCGAATATGATAGAGAAGTTTAGAGATAATCAAACTTCAATCACATATCATTCTATTGGTGGTGTATAAAGAATTCCCTCCCTTCAAATTTCTCAATATTATCATCTTTTTTCCATCTCATGATGGTCGGTCCCATTTTTGATGTAGATGCTTGCTTTTTATATATTATATTATATATGGAAGTTACTTATTAATGTTAACATTTATCAGCCAATAATCAGTCCTAAAAAGACACAATATTTTATTTATAAAATGGGATTTCCAATCAGTAACAGCAGACAAACATGATGATATCATCATCATTTCAATCAGACCAAACTTTGCAATATGAAGAAAGGAATGCTAAATGAGTTTACCTTTCTTCTTTTGTTTTTAAAGCGTATGACAATTTCTTGAAATTCATATAGTTTTTCTCATCTCCTGCCTCAAGATTATTATTCATCCAAAGAGATATCCAGTTCATATAAAGATGCAGAAAGCTTGGTTCTATGAAGTACATGGTCCTAAGGAAGTCCTCAAACTAGGAGACTTCCCGATTCCTTACCCAGGACAAAATCAGCTTCTTGTCCAAGTTTGTGCTGCTGCTTTGAATCCTATTGATTTCAAGTTGCGCTCTAATCCCCTGGTCTTTACAGATTTTCCGGTGAGTGCATGAAAATTAACTTATGGCTTGTTTTCTGAGGACTTTGGCTACTGATTCCGTTTGAATTCACTCTGCTACTAGTTATATTTTCACAAAGCTGAATCTCTTTCTTCTTTCAATGGCTGCCTTCAGTAGCCTTCTAAGGCGAGGCCACTCTCTCTCTATTCTGACCAGAGGATGAGAGCGGGTATGAGGGCTCCTTCTACGCCTTCTTTTATGTAAGAACAAAAATAGGAAGACTCAACTGTCTTCCCAAAAGGGATGAAACTACTTTGAAAAGACAATTATCTTGCTAGCAAACATATTTGGACGATATTAAGAATGTGTAGCTGAAAATGAATTGGGGAAAAAAATGAAATTTAATAAATTGAGATCAAACGGGAGCTAAATATATGACGAGACTTGATAGTGTAATTATCATTGATCAATGCGAAGAATATATGGCCTTGCAAGAGTGAATCACTTAGGGAATTCCAACAATTTTGTTTAATCGATACAAATTGTGACTCCAATCTTGCAGATATTTTGATTTTAGTGAATCTTGAGAACTTTAGACTACGTTTGTTACCGAATTAGACCATATAATGAATTTAATATAAAATTAGAATTGTTAGGAGTTGATCGATGGTATTAGGGTGGATTAAGATGGATGACATTCTTCATTTTTAAATAAAAAAATGCCATGTTTTATCAAGTGCATAACATAATGTAGAGTTGGAGATGGGATTGATGCTAGATAAGATATCGTAGAAATGACATTCTTTTGTAAATATTGTAAATAACATTCCATTTACATAAGTGTATTGATTTTTTTTTAAAGTCAAAATCTTGTATATTGTAATGTTTTCATGTCTAATAATGCATATCAAACTTGCCATTATTGATTGCTCTTGTTTGAGCTCCATTATAATTAAAATTTTGAGAAAAATATATTTTGTAATAGTTATTTTTTGAAAGATGCGTGGTTAAAAAAAAGGAAAAGTAATGGATTTGTGTGTAATATTATTTTATTGGAGATTGGTTGAAAAAAGAGAGAAAAATGGAGCCCAAACAAAGTAATTTTAAGGTACAGTTATAATATATAAGGCATTTGTTGCAGGTTGTTCCTGGTTGTGACATGGCTGGTATTGTGGTAGCAAAAGGAGATCATGTTTCAAGATTTGAAGTTGGTGACGAGGTTTATGGAAACATCCAGAATTTCAACGCAAAAGGAGAATTCAAGCAACTTGGAACCTTGGCACAATTTATTGTCGTGGAGGAGAATTTGGTGGCTTCGAAGCCAAACAACCTTTCATTCGAGGAAGCAGCCAGCTTACCGGTGGCAGTTCAGACGGCAGTGGAAGGCTTCAAAACTGCTGGTTTCAAAGAGGGACAAACAATCTTTATAGTAGGCGGAGCTGGTGGTGTTGGAACCCTGGCTGTCCAACTAGCCAAGCAATTGTACAGAGCTTCTTTGGTGGCGGCAACTACCAGCACTGCCAAGGTGGAGTTCCTAAAAACCTTGGGTGCTGACGAGGTGGTTGATTACACAAAAACCAGATACGAGGAAGTCAAGAAGAAATATGATCTCGTTTACGATACAATTGGTAACTTTATCGTAAATGTATTTATTACACTCTCTCACATTTCAATTTCATCGAGACTTAAAGTAGTAACACATTAACTAAATTTTAGAAAAAAATTTCATGAACTGAGTTGCATTTTTATTTTCCAGGTGAATCCAAGAATTCCTATGTGGTTGCTAAGGATAGTGCTCCAGTTATTGATATAACATGGCCTCCATCAAATCCTAGAGCAGTGCATTCAAGTTTGACAGTTTCTGGAGAAATTTTGGAGAACCTTAGGCCATGTTTGGAGAGTGGCAAGCTTACAGCAGTTATTGATCCGGCTGGTCCATTCCACTTTTGTGATGTTATTAAAGCTTTTGAATATTTAGAAACAGGAAGAGCCAGAGGAAAAGTTGTCATCTCCCCCTTCTCAGTTCCATATCTGACCTATGAATTTCGTAACTCAAAACTTGTTCCTCAGAGAAGTTTTATCGGATACTAGCACAGATTTGTATATATTTGATTCATCTAAGGAAAAGGTTGGACCATTACACGATTTGTTCAAGTCTTCCTTGTACAGGATTATGCTAATCTCATCTTTTCATTTTATCAGATGTCCCCGGAGAAACAACAGTATGTCTCAGTCACCTGCAATATAAACATAATAAGGGCCGTTGGCATGACTTACGCTTTTCTTTCTATTTTTTGAAGAAGAGTTTGATGTGAAAGCTATCTCAGGCTAGCTTTCCTTGAAAGCTTTCTAGTCAGACAAAGTGTTCCAAGAAAATTACTTGAACATATTAAAAAGCAACTTTTTAATTTGAATATTATAATATGCTAGTCAAGTAACTTTAATTTAAAAAAAAAAAAGGTTGAACCCCAATCTTAAGGGTCCCCCACCGTCCCTGCCCTGAAGTATCGTGAGAGAGGTAAATCACATAAATAACTTTAATTTTGTTACTAGGGCTAATGGCGTATAGCTATCTTTAATTCTTACTTTGTACAATTGGGGAAAGTTAAGCTTGTTTTTCGTAACATTAGTTTGAGGCACCCCTCCTAAGTATGGACTATATTTAGCACCCGTTTGTTTTCCATTTTTTTGCCTATTAAAATGAAAAATGTAACCGTTATCCATCACATCTAACCACCATATTTGACTTTCTATCTCTTGTGTAGGTCCCGTAACGGTTATATTTTTCATTATTATTTTTACATTAATGTGTACCAAATAGGACAATTACACTTCTAATAAAACATGACACATATAGTGGTTATATATTAAAAAAATAAAAATAAAAAATTCTTAGTTTTGTTTGATTTGCTAATTCCATAAAAAAGAAGAGATGGTAAGGTTGGTGAGTTCCCCTGAGCTAACCATAGGCATAAGAAGCACAAGGTTAATGGATGTATTCATGTTTCTTTATTAATGGACATGTGATTTATGCAGAATACGAAAGATTGGGTACAATCTTCTCATTTCTGTTGACCTGTCCATGAATACCAAAAGAATAGGCATCAAAGGCTATTTGATTTATGCAGAATACGAAAGATTGGGTACATATAGCCCTGTTTGATCCACATTAAATTAAATTACATTACATTTTATTTTTCTTTCTCTTATTTTCAATCACACAATCTTTCATAAAATAATATTACACGTAAATCGAAAATTTTTCCTTCTTTTTCTACCACTCATTTTCCAAAAATATACTATTCCCCCCATTTTCATTTTCAAGTAATGGGAATCAAACAGGGGCATAATTGAGAGCAATGAGCATTCAATTTATTATTTTATTGAGTTCTACTTTTTCAATGACCTGAGTACTCTTATTTATTATATAAAATAAGACAGAATCCTATTCTATGATATAATTTGTAAACATCATAAATTATAGGGAAAATTGCAACAACAGTCCCTAACTTTTTTATTTTTTTGTAAACTTTACCATAACTTTTATTTTGTGCCAGCGGAGGTTCCTAACCTTTCATAAATATGCACCTGAGGTCCATCTCGATGAAAACCGTCCAAAACGCCGTCAATTGACGGGAAAAATTAAGGAATCAATATCCAATAAAACTGTCAAAAACACAGTCCAAAAAGTATCAATATCTAATAAATCGTCGCTGTAGTAGATAGTTCAAAATATTTTCTCGATCAACTGACAGTGTTTCAGATTGTTTCTATCCAGATGGACCTCAAGTACATATTTATGAAAGGTTAGGGATCTTCGTTAGCATAAAATGAAGGTTAGGATAAAGTCTGCAAAAAATAAAAAGTTGAGGAATGTTGCTGCAATTTTCCCTAAATAATAATATTGAGAACACATTTTTTTAAGGATTTTATTATTGTTCTCGTTATAGTATAATATACATTTTTTTGAAAACGAGAAGTTAATAGCATTTTTCTTGTTTTGAATCTACCCTACTTTTCTCAATAATAATACAATTTTATTTTATTTTATTATTTATTTATTTATTATTATCATTTTTTAATTTGCCTGAAAACTATTTAAAGTTACAAGAAAAAAATGGAGACATGTACCATCTCAGTTAATGCAAATTCAAGATTTCAACAACCAAAATTTATTTGAACACTGAAACGAGCACGAAGAAGCTCTATTGTATTGGTGAATTGGCCAAATATTACAAAACCTGCCAATCAAGTCACGTGCCTGAATTGATGAATCCAGTTTAAAAACGTGCACACGAGTGTGTTCGACTGGACTTAATGCAATCCACTGCTGTCAAAATTTTATAGTCGGTGGAGACACAACTAGAATTATATTCTAAATTTAGAGTTGAACTGGATAGAAGGTGCTCTTCTTTTCGAACCAATTTTATCTATTACAATGTACAGCAGTATTTGTATGCCCTTTTACCTTCTGGTTTTGTAGAGAGGTGACAAGAAGGAAGTTTTACATTTTCAGACCATAAAACTCATTTTAAAGAGGATTGGTTTAGTGTACTGTAATAAAATTGGACTAACTTGGATACACGATTTTAAGGAACAAGATTGTAAATCACTCCTTCAGATGACCCTCGAGAAACTCTGCAAGTTTTTAATAAACAAGATGGTAAATCTGATGAGGATTTTGTTAGTTTGAAGTCTATTTTTCGAGTAGTGTTCTGTAAAATCACACTATGAATTTACATTCGTTTATTTGCGCCTGAATTTAGGAGTGAAATAAACCTCGTTAGCTGGGACTTTGCCGGGTATTCGACTTTTTAGCATTTTTTGAAGGCTCCATAGAAAGTCACTTCAGAGTATACAAGGAAGAATCTTTCAACGGCTACTCAGTTGGCTATCCTTTTAAGGATCGGCCTACCCAACCACTATTGGATAGATAGAACTAGAAATCAAAGTCGGAGGATGCCGGGTTACTGAATAAGACTGTTTATTACAAATCAAGTGCAATCGATAACCAATGTTAGGAATAACAGGATATTTTCGTATTCGTAGCATGCGGGGAATCGAAAATAGTATGTTTTTCCTAGGATAACTTTCATCTGTCAATAGAGTAATTTGAAGAGATTGTCTAAGGTTCCATGATCATATAGGATGTCACAAATTGTATACTCGATGGATCGGGTATAGTAAGACACAATTTGTGATGTGATCAAAATTATGTAGTTCACATTCGATTCATAAAGTTGGACGCTTTATGTTGATAAGATGGTATTGTTCTTATTAAGATTTGTCTAGATCTTGAAATAGGAACAATAATGTGTTTCGATGCACATTGAACGAGACCGCATAGATGACTCATTTGTGACCGTTTGAAATGAAACTCTACTTGATTATCAAACAGGTCACCTAAATCCTAAGTGAGTAATGTACCTTTGATTGCTAGTTCAGGTTCTTTGAGGTACCAATGAGTGAAGTCTTAAATAAGAGATTGATCTCGGTGCTTTGGGAATCGAGCCGAAACAATTAGATATCATATACTTACAATATTGGAATCCATTAATCATTGAGATGAGACGATCGTCACTCTAAGGTCTTTTCCTAGGCAAATTGAATATGAGCTCAGTAGGTCGACGATAAGATCGTTAGACTTTACATTGTGATTTGATCACAACGAATTTGCCGTATGAAAATGGGACTTAGAGGGTAATACATGTTGAAGGGCAAAACGATCATTTTGCTAGTTTCAACATATTGACGGTCAAATGAGGGTTGACTTGTAGAACGATAATCAGAGGATATTGTTATTGAATCATAATTTGCTTCTATAACTATCACTCGACTCGAGAGTGCAAACTCGATTTTTTGGTAGAATAAGTCGGGATTAATAGATGTATTTCAATTGATCAAGAGTTGACCCAATTGAAAATATCTATTGGAGCTTAGGTTATGTGAGTCCAATTAGGTCCCTCTCTTAGCTCCAATAAAAGGTGTGTAACTTAATTGGCATACTACAATAAAGTCTAAGGAAATTTGTGCAATTTTCAAACTCTAATAGGTCATTATAAATATGTACTTTATTGACGTATTTTTAATGAGAATTAGGGTTAGTTACTTTTCACATTCTCCAAAAAGGAATTACGCCTAGTGGAGAACAAGGGAGAAGATTTAAGGGAGGAAACAATTGGCTAGGCCATTAATAGCTCATTCAAAAAGGTTATCATCTCCCTTTTCTATATGTGAGGATTTTATAATCCAATGATCTCAAGGTCAATTAAATCCTTATTTATATGATTTTAATCTTCAAAGAAAAATTAATTTTCTATTGTGATAATTAAAATTCATTAACCAACAGATTTGCTGTAGTAAAGTCACCCTTCAGATGAAATAAGAGTCGAGATATTGAGCCGAAATGAAGTAATGACAAAGCACTACAAATATATGAACAAGCTCAAGCTAGTAAGGCGGTCCCAGGCCTATCTGAATTTAATTGAAAGAAAAAATGATGGAAATCAGTGCTGGAAAACAATTCCAAATATTTATAAATTTTGGAGAATTTTAAGAGATATGTAATTTGGTGTTTCATCATACTTACTAATTTGTACATAATTCAAAAGGCATAATATCAATTTACTATAGTTTAATCGTAGTTTGGTGTTTTAAGTAAAACGTGTTAGATTATTTAATACTTTAAAATACTGGATCTTTCATGTTAAATCATCGAGAAATATAAGAATTAAAGAGGAAGCATACCTGAATCTGACATGGTTAATGCAATATGGATTTCGCGGTATGATCTTCCAAATCTACACGCAGTCTCCTTTTCCTCTCTGTGATGGGATGCAGTAGAGAATGAATAATTTTGTTTCGTTGCGTGTGATCTGGGGACCATAACCTATTTATATGAGGATGCCCTTTGACCTAATTCGGCCCATCATAGAATTAGGACTTGGGCCCGGTCTCTACACATATGTAAACCCATACTTTAATTGGATACATTAAAACCCAAAAAATCGAAACCTTATTAGATCACTTTAAACGGGCTCGACCGAATTCGATAGCTTATAATTTAACACACAATTATTCACACATACAAGCCCATCTTTAATTAAAAATCCTTACAATCTCCCACTTGGACTATATGTCTCACGTTATAATTGTGCATTAAAATAACCTTATGAGTACTCAGAATTTTGCTATCATT